GAGACCAGCCTGAGCAAGAGCGAGACCCTGTGTCTACTAAAAATAGAAAAAATTAGGCAGGCGTGGTGGCACATACCTGTATCCCAGCCACTTGGGAGACTGAGGCAGGAGGATCGCTTTAACCTAAGAGTTTGAGGTTGCTGTGAGCTACGCTGATGCCACGGCACTCTAGCCCAGGCAACAGAGTGAGACTCTGTCTCAAAAAAACAGAAAAATAACAGTTGCCCTCTAGGCTGGCTGAGGCAGAGTATAGAAAGCCTTGTTCCAAATGTCCAGGGAGCTCTGGTTGGCAGAGGATGATGGAATAGCAAACAGGTGCCTGTGGTCAGCGCAGCCCAGCTTGGAAGTGGATCAGAGTAGATATCAACTGTGTCGAAGTGGACAAACACCATGGCTACTCTTTAGTTTCCTGTCTTTCACATCCCTTATTTTTCTCCTTTGAGGAGGCAATTTAAGCACATCTTGATTCATGGAGAGACCTAAAGATCCAAAGTGTCTAAAAAGTTTTTCTAAACATAATCTCTCCCCAATAATTATATTTTTACATTAGGAAGTGCATCGCTATATTTTGAAGGCATAGGGTTATTTGCTGCATGCAGCCAACAGTGGGTTAAGTTCATTTAAAAGAGCAACAAACAGAAGTGGACTTGCTGCTCGTTCTGGACAAGCCGAGTGTTCCCCTTTGTCATCACTCTTACTTATCTCACCTTACCCGCTCTCAGTCTGCCTCTCCCCTGTACCCAGCTCAGCTCATTGCAAAGCTGGTAAACCTTACACCCTCCCAGGAGAAAACAGCGCAGCCGCCCCCACTACCCCTCCCCAGCTCCTGCCCTTTCTCGGAGGGCCGAGGGGGTTCTGCATCTGAGACGCCAATGCAGGCGGAACTGCTCAGGCACAGCCATCCTGAAGCGGCGGCAAGGCCTCGCTCAGGCTCTTTCTGTTGCTGCTGTCAGTTTGGTGCCGGCACAGGGGGGTTCAGAGTAAACCGTCATTTAAAGGAGGGAAAGGGAGAAAGGTGGCAATCGGGACACTGGTGGATGCCTGGCAGAAGGTTTCGCACCCCTGCAGTCAGGCTCTGTTGGAAGGCAGAGATTGGGAAAGGTTGGGGAGCGACAGTGGGCTCTTTTAAAGGTTTGTATTATGAGGGTTAAGGAGGAAAAATGAATGAGTTGGGGTTATTTAGCCAGGATGCGAGAACATGCGAAGGAGTGGTGATTTGTTTTCTTTGAGTCTTAGAAGGGTTATTTTGGGAAATGCGGCTACCAGCTATTCGCTCTTTCCATTGCCAGCAGACCAGGAAGGACTGGGTTTAAGTTACAGTTGGTGAGATGGAAGTCAAACAACCCATATTCAAGTGTTTTGAGTGCTGACAGTGTGTCGGTCACAGTGGATTAGCAGAAGGAAGAGGCATGCCAAAGATTCAGAAGTGTGGACTCTGGGGCCAGCCAGCCTGGCTTTGAATCCTGGCTTCAGCACTTAGTAGCTTTGGGACCTTGGACAAATTACTATACTTCTAAGCCTCAGTCACCTGATCTATAAAATGGACATAATGTACCTACCTTCTCGAGGGTTACTTTTAAGATTAAGAGTTAGCCTAGGTAAAGTACTTTGAACAGTGGCTGGCACATATTATGGGGTATCTATATGATAAAAAATAATATTAGTAGCTAGGTGAGGTGGTGTGTGCCCATTGTCCCAGCTATTCCAGAGGCTGAGGTGGGACGATTGCTTAAGACCAGGAGTTCAAGGCCAGCCTGGGCAACATAGCGAGACCCCTGTCTCTTTAAAAAAAAAAAAAGCATAAGCAGTAGAAAGGATCTAGGGGTCATTTGGGGCAATACTTCATTTTACAGATAAGGAGGCAGACATAGGAGATAGAATCAAGATTAGAAGCCAATTATTCTGTAGGCTTCTAGTCCAGGACTATTGCCACTACTCTACTATGTTTTAGGTTCCTCTTCCTTGCCCTCCCCCTCAGAGCCAATATTTCAAGAGTACTTCCTATGTGCCAGCACTGTGCTAAACGCTGACGTATGTGACTTCATTTAAATCTTACAGCAACCTGTGAGGCAGGTGCCATTATCCCCATTTTTTTCCAAGTGGCATCTTAGGCTCAGAGAGATTACTTTACTTGCCCAAGGCTACACAGCTTTTAAGAGGTAGGGAAAATGGGTCAGATGCCAGAGTTCCCCCCTTGAGCAGTGGTTCTTTACCTCTAATCCCTGTAAGACTTTGGTGACGGCCTTGGACTCCCCTCTCTTAACAAAATGCACAGGCTCACACACCAAAAGAGTATTTTCAGGTGGCTTCAGGGTTCATAAATCTCCAGCTTCAAGAACCTCTGTACTTGGTAGCATAATAGAGTAATTAAGAGCACACTCTGGATCAGATGGCCTAGTTCAGATCTTCCTCTACCACTTGTTAGCTGTGCAACCTTGAGCAGGTAGTAACATTAAGTATGATGTCTTGGGCCTCAACTTTCTCAACTGTAAAATGAGGATAATAGTATTTAATTATAGAGTTGTGAGAATTAAATGAGTTAATATGTATCGTATTTCTAGTACATGGATAACTCTACAGCAGTGTTCACTATTAGTAGTAGTAGTATTGCTGTCCTTGGAGCTTAGCTTAGTTAATGTTTGTGGACAGAATGAACGAGTAATTCTATTAAGATGCCTAGCCTGGGGTAGAGCACCCTAACCATTGTGTCGCAGATGGGCTGCAGTTTTGCCCAGATATCGATCCACTCGACCCTCAGGGCTGCCACAGCCACAGCTGGTCGCTCCTGGCTTCAGGCAGCAACATCTGCGGTGTGACACACAAATACCCTTCTTTCTGCGTGCCCTGACACAGAAACAGTTCGGTAGCACCTGTCGAGGCAAGCAGCTGGTAGCCCATGAGAATCAAATAGGTAGTCCAGATCCCAGGCCCCGGAAAGTTCTGTGGGTGAGCAGCAGAAGAGTCTGACCAGTGAACTGAGAGCAGAGGCTATGAGCTTCGTGCAGCTTGGCAAGCGCAGAGTCTACAGCTGCAGTAGGCTCCGCGCTTCCCACCCTGCACGTGAGGACGGGGGGAGTCACTCTGGGCGGATTTGTTCAGAGCCGCCAGTCTCAGGTGCTAGCAAAACCACCTCGAGCCAGAAACCGGACTGGAGCCCAGAGGTTTGTGTAGGCAACAGATGTTGGACAGCTAGTGGTAAGTACTGAAGTGGGTGAGCCCCGAGGTGCAGTGCTGGGAAGAAGTAGCGCCCAGGCTGTGGGAATTTATAACAGGACCCAGCTGTGCCTGCCAGCTGGACTCTAAGGGTGACGGGAAGCTATTGAAGGCAAGTGGTATATTTAGATTTGTACCTTTTGTTCTTTTAAGGTCACCCTGACAGCCTGTTAGAAAATGAATTGGGGCCGTGCATGGTGGCCCACGACTGTAATCACAGTCGTTGAGGAGGCCAAGGTGGGAGGATCACTGAGGCCAGGAGTTCAAGATCAGCCTGGGCAACATAACAAGACCCTGTCTCTACAAAAAATTTTTAAAATTTGCTGAGTATGGTGGCATGTGCCTATAATCCTAGCTACTCGGGAGGCTGAGGCAAGAGGATTGCTTGAGCCCAGGAGCTGGAGGTCACAGTGAGCTGTAATTGTGCCACTGTACAATTACAGTGTCACTGCCTGGGTGACAGAGTGATTGTCTCTTAAAAAAAAAAGAAAAAATGAATTGGAAACAGACAAGAGTTTAGACATATGTTAAGAGACTCGTACAAGAGGTGAGAGGTGAGAGGTGATACTTGCCTGAAATAGGTACCTGGACTTTTGAGGAAAAGGAGGACTCAAGGGTGACCCCACAGATTCTGGGTAGATAGAGGTGTCATCCCTGGGATAGGGGATACTGGAAGTAGAACAGTTGGGGGGGTTGGGGCATGTTGTGAGTTCTGCTGGGGACTCGTTCCATTTGTGATACCTGTGAGATGTTCCCCGAGGATGGTCAACAAGACAGGTGGATGGGTGGGTCTGAGCACAGGAGAGATGTTGGAGTGGGCTGTCAGCAGTGGGGCTGGCTGCCTGCCTTCAACAGCCCCTCCTAAGGGGAACAAGTTTGAAAGTGGGTTTTGATCAGTGACCTCTTGCTGTACAACCAATTTGACTGGCATGCTTCTCTTCTATGCTCAACTTTTAGAATTCTTAGATATGTATTATATATTTTGAACCCTTTTCATAAAAACCAGTATAGTTCCCTACTTTGAAGAATTCATCTCTTTCTTTTTGGCTGGCTTCATTAACTCCTTCCCTGCATGTCCTTGCAGGAGGAGGAAGCTGGCAACTCATAATGTGGTACTGTCCATTTTCTCAGATTTGTGACCCAGAAGGCAATCTGTTGGTGCTGGCCAGCAGCCAACTTCATGTCTCAGTACACGAGCAGCAGTTTGCCATGGAGAGCTTGGGGCTGCAGACGGTGACCCTCAGTGATGGGACAACAGCCTATGTCCAGCAAGCTGTCAAAGGTGAGTGTTTTGGGGAACCTCAGGATCCCTCCCTGTATCTCTGCCTCTGGAAAGGAATGTCCCCTTCAGAGAGTCTCATTCCCACCCTGCCCGCCCGCCTGCTCACCCCTGCCTACCACCACAGCGTGCTCTGCGTGAGAATCTCCTGTGGTGCTTGATGGAAAGGGAACTCGAAAATAAAACGCCACATCGGCAAGCTGGAGAGTAAGACTGCCCCGCCCGTGGGAGCCAAGACCTCTCACAGGCAGAATTCCATATACATAGTGAGTAGTTCATAAATATTTCTGCAGCAGATGGACACGGTGCTAGTTATGACTTCCTGCTTTTCAAATATTCCCCAGCCAGTTTCTCAGTGCTCTCCAGAAGCAGTTCATCATCCTAATTCAAGCAAATTTAAGCACTCAAACTATCTACTGAGCATGTACCATGTATACGATGTTCTTCTAGGCTCAAAGGGGCACACCCAAGCATGGATCTCATGCCTTAGTCCACTCTAGGGGCTGCCAGAAATAAAAATACAGGGCGCACAGTTAGATTTGAATTGCAGATAAACAACGACTACTTTTGTAGTATGGGTATATCCCAAATGTTGCATGAGATAAGACATGTATAAACATGGGATTAAATACTAAAAAATACTAAGTAACACTAAGCACTGAAAAAAAATTATCATTTATCTGAAATTCAGATTGACCTGGGCATCCTGTATTTAATCTGGCCATCTTATCCCCACTGTCAAGGAACTTAGAATCAAGGTAGATGTGGAGTCAGATGAGAGTGTTGTTGAGAGCAAGGCCTGCAGGCCGGGGACACCCCTCCTTTCTTGCCAGCATTCTGAGGCGTGCCAGATGGCATTCCTGTCTTCCTGGGACAGCACTGGGCAGACACTGCCTCGTTCCTCCTCCTCTTTATTCGGCCTTTTCTGGAGTCCGTGAGTGTCACTGTTCTCATAACCACGTTGTCACTGCAACGTTGCCCTCCTTCATTTGAACACATTGTCGGAATATATTTCCATTCCTAAGTTTACAGATAAGTTGTTTATTGATTTCATTTTAAATTGTCTCTTTCCTGATGGTGACTAAAGAGGCCCCTTAATCTCATCAGTAAGCTCTTTCCATATGTCACCGTGTGGGGGCGGCTTCTGGAAAGATGTCTTGGCAAGAGCTGTTTGTGATGTGTGGGTTCTCACTGGCCTCATTCTCTTGAGAATGGAACTTCTCTAGAATACTTCTGAAGCCTAAAACCCTGTGTCTGCAGACTTCCCCTACCGGTCTTGCCCCTCTGGTGCAGTCTCAGCAGAGGTACAGTGGGATGGGAGAACTTAGGAACTCCAGGTAGGCCTGTGTTTACACCTTGGACCCATTTAGTTGCCCTGCCTCAGTCTTCCACTGCAAATCGATGCTTGCATAAACAGCAAGTGACCACACCTGGCCTGAGAAAGCCATTCTTTTCTTACATTTTCTCTCTTATGTCTGGGTCTCTTTGCCTCCCCCACCTGCCCATTTATATCTTTCTTTCCTCACTCTTCCTGGCTCTGATCGCTGCACCCTCTCCAGTGTTGCAGTGCGCGCTTGCGCACGTGCGTGAACACCGACGCTTACGACAGACTCCCACTGCTCGGGGGAGAGATGTCCTTCAGAGACCAGGACCACACTGGCCTTCCCGGTGAGCTCCTCTGAGCTCTCAACTGAAGCACTCCACCTCTGTCGGCACCCAGCTTAGCTAGCAGGAAGCCCTAAAATTTTATGAGGCTTATCTGTAATTAGGATGTACATACAATATATCATTCAAACCCCACACTTTGAGAGTGAAAGACTGTTACTAATAAACACACTGGAATGTGTGGTCACCCCTCCATAATGGGGTACAAGGCCGCCATCAGTCAGCTATTCTCCAATGCCTCTGCCCATTGTAGTCTCTGGCCGTTAGAGGAAATAGTGGGTTAAAATTTTTCCTCAGACAACCCTTCTCAACATTTTGTGTCCTGTCTTGAAGCAGCACCCACTCTGCTAGCAGTAGCTCTGCTGACGCTTTCAGAACCCCAAGTTCTGATGGCCTTGCCCGTTAGGCTACCATGTGGGTAGCCCAGTGCTCTCTGGATGGGAGAGAAGAAAGTGGGTTCCTCTCCCCTCATCTCTGCTGCCTTTCTTATCTTTGCTTCTGCCTTCCCTGCCTTCAGCTGGGTTGTTGGACTATTAGTTACTGACTCTAAGAAGACTCAGTTTGGGGACAAGTTTGGGGATTCCCCAGAAGGGAGATGTCAGCAGAGACCTGGGCCGGAAATCTGTACCTGAAGCTTCTAAAGAAGGGAACAAAGAAATCACTTGTCATTAACTCTTCAATCTCCCTTTCTTTTTTCCCTTTCTCATTTCCTTCCTTCATTCCCTCTCTCAGACTCACTGGACACAGGGAGGGGACATCTAATTCTAATTCCAAGAGCCTTTTAGCAGTGCTTTCCAGTAAGGCAAAAGAGGATGATTTCCTAAGATATTTGGAGTCTTGTTAATTTTTACATTGCTTATTGTAGGTGAGTCAATGTTTTATTAGAAAATTGAAAGGAAAATATAAGAGCTCAGTGAAGGAAACATTACTCAACAGTGGCAGTGGAATAAGACCTAGATGGATACATAATAGCATAATAGTCCACAGAACTCCTATTGCTCTACTTTCCATTTCTTGTAAAATGCAGATTAGGGCCAGGTGCGGTGACTCATGCCTGTAATCACAACACTTTGGGAAGCTGAGGCAGGAGGATCACGCAAGGCCAGGAGTTCAAGACCAGCCTGGGCAACATAGCAAGACCCCATCTCTACAAAAAAATAAAAAAACAGCCAGTTATGGTAGCACACACCTGTAGCCCAGCTACTCGGGAGGCTGTTAACAAGCTAAATAAGCTGTCCAAGGTCACATAGCTGCTAAGAGGTAGAGCTAGAATTCAAACTCAGACATCTTGGCCTGGTTCCAGAGCCTGTTGCTTTTAACCACTATGCTGTACTGCCTGCCTTCTCAGGGGCTCCAGGTCTTGGCACACTGCCATAGTGAGAGACTAGGGGATGTATTTTGATTTTGTTAGTTTGAGTTATATCTGGATTTTGACCCACTGGGGCCTTTCTAGGTTTCAGGGCAGCCTCTGCTCTCCGTTTAGTTCCATCTCAGCAGCTTACTGTTAGGTTGGAAGTCCCTACTTTGCTGGACGTGGGTGGAATAATAAATGGAGTTGCTCCTCCTTTGAGTGACTAGAAGGGAATCTGCTGGGAAATGTGGGGTTCCTGCAAGGCAGGATGTCTTCCCCCTCAGTGCCTCGGGGCCCACAGCTCACAGACTAGTGCCCAGAGACTCAAATAGGCCTCTGCTAAAAGCAGGCAAGTGTCTCTTAATTGTTTCCTGGGCCTGGCCTGTTTCTCTCCATATCCACCCCACAGGAGAGAAGCTGCTTGAAGGGCAAGTGATCCAGCTTGAGGACGGGACCACCGCATACATCCACCAAGTGACAGTGCAGAAAGGTGAGGGCACCCTGACACACCCCTGTCTTGTGGAGAGAAGCCTGGCAGCCCCCACCAAGGGACCCCTTATGACACTGAGCTCCAGAGAAACGCAGGCATTGCTCTCATTACAGAACCTCTCTCCTTTGAGGATGGACAACCTGTGCAACTGGAAGACGGCAGCATGGCCTACATACACCGCACACCCAAAGGTGGGATCGCAGTCATCACGACTGGTGGGGCAGGATGGGAGGCAGAATTGGCAGAGGTTGGGGGATGGAGTGGTACACCGTGAGGGTCACGGTATAGACATGGGACCTGTCATCCCCAGGGCACACACGCTCACCTGGATTAGCTGCCTCGCCCACCTTCCCTAGTGCAGACTGCAGAAGCACCTGTTTCTGCCGCCAGATACTGACCTTGGGGGTCAGTACCATGGACCTTAATGGTGGCTTTGGCTCTAGCACAGCCACAAAATCTTAGGGCTTTAAAGAGGACCCAGGGATTTCATCCGAGACTAGGAGAAAAAACTTACTAATATTTAAGAATGAAGCTCCTAAGGTGCTGAAGAATAGCGATTTATTCCTTCTCCAAGTAGTTTCTTGAGTGACTACTGCAGGCTAGGCATTGCGCCAAGTGCGGAGTATATGAGAGAACAACATCAGACACAGTCCCTGCTCTCCTAGAGTTTAGTGGGGGAAATGGAAGCGGAACATGCTGATCATTACACACAGGGGTCAGGCTCAGGGAGGGCTTCTCTGAGGAAGTGGTGCTTGCACCGAGAGGTGAGGAATGAGGTGGACTTACCCGGGGGAAGAAGGATGGCAGGGAGAGTTCAGTACTCCAGACAGAAGGAACAGCATGTGCAGGCCTAGAGCTGGGGAGAAGAAAGAATAATGTATTCAAGGAGCTGCCAGAAAAGCTAGAGCACTGGGAGTGAGGGCAGAATGGCCAAGAGGAAGCCAAAGAGAGAAAGGCAGGGCCAGTGCACTTGGGGATTGAGTGTCAGGATAAGGATTTTAGTCTTTTTCCGAAGACCAGTGTTAGAGCTGTTTAGGCAGTTAGGTGACACGATCACATTTGTGTCTTGCACAGATCCCTCTGGATGCTGCGCTACCTGGAGGGAACTAGAGTGGGTGAGGGGCAACTGGTCAGGAGGCTCTTGTGGTCATCTAGGCCGAGATGAGATGGGCCCCTGTCAGGTCCTCAAGGAGCTTGTGAGTTCCCAGTCAGTGCACCCTGGGAGAGGCAGCTCCAGAAGGAGGGCCAGAAGAGCGACTCACCAAGGTGTAGCTGGGCGTGGAGGCACCTGTAGTCCCGGCTACTTAGGAGGCTGAGATGAGGAGGATCGCTTGAGCTCAGGAGTTTGAGGCCAACCTGGGCAACATCGTGAGACCCCCATCACTTAAAAAAAGTGAATCACCAAGCTGAGGGGCCAGGAGAAACTGGGTGCTGAAATCCTCCTTGGCGTACGTACCTCTCATTAACTTACAGACAGGGTCCCAGCTGTATCTCTTCCCCCTGTGTGGCATCGAAGCTAACCGTGTGTTCCCTCTAGAGGGCTATGACCCCAGTGCCCTGGAAGCTGTCCAGCTGGAAGACGGCTCCACTGCCTACATCCACCACCCTGTGGCTGTGCCATCGGACAGCACCATCCTGGCTGTGCAGACAGAGGTGGGCTTGGAAGACCTGGCAGCAGAGGATGAGGAGGGCTTCAGTGCAGACACGGTGGTGGCTCTGGAGCAATACGCCAGCAAGGTGAGCATGCAGAGCCTGATGATCTCTGTCTAGACGGCGGGGCGTTGCCTGCCTCTCGGTCCTGCCAGAACTTCACCTCGCTAAAGGACGAGGGCAGCCTGTGCTCGGGCAACGCCCGGGCTACTCCATGTGCCCCTCCGCCTCTGCCCCGCCGACTCCTCTGTCACACATCATTGTCCAGGGTGTGCATCACAGCCTGGCTGGGGCCCCTGCCGGCTGTTCACACTCACCCTTGTTTATGCTGTCTCTGCAGGGGGTCGCTGCTGCGAGAAACAGTGGCATCCTTATGGTGGGAAGTTAGGTCCAGCTTCGCTTTGGCTGCTGTAATAATACCCCGTGCTGTCTAGAAAGCCCTTGCCTGTGGCTTTTATTAGCTTTCTAGTCCACTAGGGTCAGATTCTCTTGCATTTATTTCATCTCTGTGGCCCGTTGAGTCCTGTGGGAAAATAACCTCGGTAGGCAATGACAAGGGCACACGCAGCAGAGCAGCTGCGAGTCTTGGCGCGTGAGGCCCACACGGTAGCTCAGCTGACGAGGAGAAGGGTCCCGCTCTGCAAACGTCAGTCAGTCCAACCTCTCCCTGCTGGAACGACGGCCCTGCCAGTGAGCGGACAGGGGCAGAGATCTACAGGCTTCCCACACAGGTGCTCCCTCCCTGGGCTGGACCGCGGAGCCTCGGGGCGGGTGTGGCAGAGCTTCCGGGAGCGCCAGTTTACCCAGAGACTGGGAAGTCGTTTTATAATGAAACTGTGCGGCTGTATGGTAGAGGAAAAGAGGAAATCCCCACGTATTTCAGAATGAAGTAAAATAAAGCTGTGCCTACTCCCACCCCTATTCCCAGAGGTGTATTTGAAAGACCAAATTCGAGACTTGCTGCTGATGGAAAGAGAACTGGGTTTTATTTAAATCATGAGCCCTGAGGTCCGTGCTGGCTCTGCTGCCACCCAGCCGGACCTTGCGTGAGTCCCGCCCCTCCCAGGCCTCCGCCGTTCCTCTAAAATGAGATGAGACCAGATGACCTCAGAGACCACTGCTGGCCCTGATGTTCCTTCATTCCCTCGGTTACCCTGGAGCTAGTGAGACATGGGAGTGAAATGCAAGTGCCCACATAGGCTGTGACCCCCCCCTCTACCCACCGGCTGCTTAAGTATCCATGGAACTCTGTCAGCTCTTTGACCCCTGTCTTGGAGCCTGACTAGACAGACTTACCATGAGCTTGGCCTCAGCCCTTTATCTCCCACTCACTGCGACTCTGGAGTTCAATTTCCAGAGTTCCTGGAAAGACCAATGTGATCCTGAAGCATTCCAGAAAAAAAGACTAAGGGACAGTCCCACCAGGACCCTTCCCAGGAAAGCAGAAGAGCAGTGAGGGCTTTGTGTGGCCAGGGGCTGTGTCCCAGGAGAGATGAAAGGGGAACACTTGTCAGCTGGGTGCTGTCCTTAGAGCTGAGACTTCTGGTGGGGACTGCAGTCCCCTCCCCTGGGCGCTCTGGTTACGGCCACCTCACCCTGGGCCTTGTGCCCTGCCAGGTGAACCTAGGTGAGCTCATCCCCACAGCAAGCCCCCTTGTCAGTGCCCCTTCTGAGCACAGGTTTCCTGCTGGGAGGAAGAGGGCCCTCCCATCGCAGGATGGAGGTGTCAAGAGTTGCAGCCTCCTAGGTGTGTGTGGCTGAAAGGAGGGTTTCTGGCACTCAGCCCAGTTTAAGTATGGCCTTGCAGACAGCCTCTCTCCCCACCCTACCTAGCTGTCTAGGAAACATCCTTTCTTCAGTAGCTGCCATAGCCCCTATGGCCTTAGTCTTCCCTCTGTCCATCAGAGATGGGTGGTGACGCCACACGCCAGCTCTGTTTCTTCTGCAGTGTGCCCCACATCTGTCCCCTGTCTGTCTGGAATCTCCTTCTACCACAGAGGCACCTGACACGCTTAATTGAGTCTCAAGCTGCCAGCTGGGCCCTGTGTCCCACCCCTCCCATCCCCTCATTGGGGAGAAAACATATAGGGACCCCAACATTTTCCTCCAGGTTCTGCATGACAGCCAGACTCCCCATAACGGCAAAGGGCAGCAGGTTGGAGACAGAGCGTTCCGCTGTGGCTACAAGGGCTGTGGGCGTCTCTACACCACTGCTCATCACTTAAAGGTAAGGCTGCTGGCAGACAGCTTTCAGCTCTGCCATCTTCCCTTCCAGACCGTAATTCTGCCTTTCCACCTTGATTGGAACTGGTCCCCCGCTGAAGTTGCTGGAGGGAAGAGATGAGTGTACAGCAACGTCAGCACAGGGGGCTATGGCATATGTGAAGGTGCAGGAGGGAAGGGCGTCAGGGCTCTAAAGAAAACGAGAGAGTACAGGTCACACCCTCGTTCCTCTGAATTGTGTGGTTGCTTGTCCTCACAGGTGCACGAACGAGCTCACACAGGTGACCGTCCATACAGGTGTGACTTCCCCAGCTGTGGAAAGGCCTTTGCCACAGGTAACCTACCTGGATGGAGACCAAAGGTGGACCACCTTCAGCTGAGGGCAGAGGGTTCTAGATCTGCTCTGGGATCTCCCTGAAGGGAACCCAACACCAGGCTGCCTTCCTGGAGAAACTACCATCCGGGTGCTCTGACTTGAAGGGGGCTCTCTCTGGAGCAGGCCCTGCTGCGGACGGGAAAGGCAGCATGGTCCAGGCCAGCAGCAGGAGGCTGGAGGGCTGGGGGAGAGACCCTGCCTCCTGTGTTAGCTCTGAGGCCAACCCGCTGTGGGCCACTGCATCTCGCTGGCCTTGTCTTCCTCTCAGTGAAAACAAGGGCCTTTAGCCACCAGTTCTTTATGTTTCCTCTCATGCTCCTGTTCTAGAATGGCTCCAGCTGCCCCTGGAGAGGGAAGAAGGGCAGAATGGGCTTTTCTAGCCCCTCCTTAATCTGCCCAGGCAGGGGTGGGATAGAGGCAGACATAGGCTTTTTGAGCCAAAAACGCCCTGGAGCCTCCCAGAGCACACCTTAAGACGGAGAGCCTCTGTGCGAGGTGGATGGTGGCGGATGACGCCCCACTGGGCGCCCTTCTCACCCCTCCCTGCCACACGTGGACAGGCTACGGGCTGAAGAGCCACGTTCGCACCCACACCGGTGAGAAACCGTACAAGTGCCCAGAGGAGCTGTGCAGCAAGGCCTTCAAGACGTCAGGAGACCTGCAGAAGCACGTCCGTACCCACACCGGTATGCTGGGCCCTGCCCGCCGCCACCCCGTTCCCTGGGCAAAGGGGACTCAACTCACCGCTCAGACTTAGACCTGGAGCGCGGCGTCATCCCCTTGCACCACCCCTCACACCCTGCCGTTTGCACAGGTGAACGCCCGTTCCGGTGCCCCTTTGAGGGCTGCGGCCGCTCCTTCACCACGTCTAACATCCGCAAGGTACACGTGCGCACCCACACAGGCGAGCGGCCCTACACCTGCCCGGAGCCCCACTGTGGCCGCGGCTTCACCAGCGCGACCAACTACAAGAACCACGTGCGCATCCACACAGGTGGGCCAGCCGGTGGACGAGGACCACCCCCCGAGGTCCCAGCCCCTCTACTGTAGGCTTCTGATCTGAGACACATTCTCAACCCCCAGCCCAGAGCCCTTCCCTGCCGGCCGTTCCAGGCTGGTCTGGGGGTGGGGTATCCCTAGAACCGCCGTTCTTCTGCCCTGAGCTGTTCCTCCATTTCCAGTTAGGGCCAATCTGACAGGTCCTGCCAGCCCTCTCTGGGGCCCCTCAGCTCCTTACCACCTCCCTGCACCCACCGTGAATCCCTCCACTCCGGCTGGGCTCCTGAACGGAGGCCAGGGTCGGGATGATGGGGAGGAAGCAGAGTGAAACGCCGCCGTCCCCTCCTGGCCCGTCCGCGGCCGTGTGGCTCCTGTGCATCCTCCCTCCCCGGTGCTACTCCCTCGTCATCCGTCTGTCTTCTTAGCTGTGTGTGTCCCCTCTCTCTCCCATCACACCTGACACCTCATCATCCGTCTCCTGCCTCTGCTGTTCGCCACTCCCAGGGCTCCCCGCCGCAGCCTCGCAAGCCCCCCCGCGCCACTTCACTGGCCCCAGCCTCGCCCCGTGCCGCTTTTCCCTCCACCTCGTCCCTGGGCTCAGTGGTTCCACACCCACGTGCTCTCTGTGTCCCGCCAGTCATCTCTTCCAGCTCTGTCCTTTCAGAGTCTCGGTTTGCAGTCCCTCTCCCGTCTGCCAGCTCTCCCTTTACCAGCCCCGTCCCCGGCCCCTGTCCCCCTAGTTTTCCCCTTGCCAGCCCCAGTTCCCACCCCCCTCACAGCCCAGTGTCCCCAGGGGAGAAGCCATACGTTTGCACGGTGCCAGGCTGTGGGAAGCGCTTCACCGAGTACTCGAGCCTGTACAAGCACCACGTGGTGCACACACACTGCAAGCCCTATACCTGCAGCACCTGCGGCAAGACCTACCGGCAGACCTCCACCTTGGCCATGCACAAGCGCAGCGCCCACGGCGAGCTGGAGGCCACAGAGGAGAGCGAGCAGGCCCTCTATGAGCAGCAGCAGCTTGAGGGTGAGGGGAGTGGGCCGGGGCTAAGAGTGGGACAAGCCATGGCATCCAGTGGCAGGTGTCAGCCTGGGCTCTCCTCTCCCAGCTGCCTCTGCTGCCGAGGAGAGCCCGCCACCCAAACGACCCCGCATTGCTTACCTTTCGGAGGTGAAGGAAGAGGGTGATGACATCCCAGCCCAAGTGGCCATGGTGACCGAGGAGGATGGGGCCCCCCAGGTGGCTCTGATCACTCAGGATGGTGCCCAGCAGGTACAGGCCCTGGAGGGCAGGGGTGGGGCCAGCCGCTCTGCCTGGCACCCTCTCCACTCTCTCTGAGAGCTCTGGGGAGCCCCGAACTTCTGACAGCCCCACCTCCACCCAGTTTCCAGTTGAAGCTTTATGAACCTCAGAGAGCTGAGGCTGAGGGGCCACATCTTGTAACGCAGCTCCTCCTCCTCCTCCTCATGTTTGCAGCTCGGTCTCTGGGACTTCTGGGGCACAGTCAGTAGTTTCTCTCTTTACTTGGAAGCTGATAAGTCCTGATCATCTGAATGAGACACTTGGATGTCCTTCTCAAGAGAGGCATGTTGGAACAGGGGCTAGAGCATGGTGCGGGGTTGAGAAGCCTGGGGTCTTGTCCCACCAGTGTACTGGCCGGCTGTATAGCCTGACCCTCATCAGCACCCTCACTGTGAAATGGACCTGTGCCTTCTAGAGTTGTGATGAGGAGACATTAGGTGGAGACCCAGAATTGCATACAAGGCCCAGAGGCAAAGTGGTGACAAATAGAAGTGGTTGGCCAAATTCTTCTAGTGTAGCCACTCAGCAACCTTGGACCCATTGGTTTGCTTGTCCCCCTACCCGTTCCACTCTTACGACACTTCGGGCCTACCAACAAGCCAGCTTTGTCCGGGAGAGCAGACACATCCTCCTCGGGGCTTTCAGACAACCCTCCACTGACACCCCTGCTCATCTTCTCCCTTCCTGTCGGCAGGTCAGCCTGTCCCCGGAAGACCTGCAGGCCCTGGGGAGTGCCATCAGTATGGTGACCCAGCATGGCAGTACCACCCTCACCATCCCCAGTCATGAAGACGACCTGGCCGCATCTGGCGCACATACGGTCACCATGGTCAGCGCCGATGGCACCCAGACGCAGCCCGTATGACCAGGCAGTTTGCTCGGGGTTTCTTATTCTCTTGCCATTCCTTTATGTGGGGCGGTCACTAAAGTGCAGGTTAAACTAGTCAAGGCTTCTTGGAAGGACAAAGATTCCCCACAAAAAGAGGGTCTTCCCCACAGCTCCTCTGGGGCGTGATTAGAAGCATTTGACTGCGAGGCTAGAGACACTTTCTACGTCTCTAATTTGCTTTGTGACCTTAGGCAAGGCACTTTTCCGTGGACTTCAGTCCATTTTCAAATGATGGGATTAAATTATCTCTGGGGGTTTTTTACAGCTCTGTCCTTCTGTTATTCAAAATCCCTAAATTAAATTGGGCTCTAAGTTAGAGAAAAACTGAACCTCACTCAGCTCTGAGCCCCAGGCTAATTAATCTGACCCTTGTGGTTTTATCCACTCCCTTCGGAGTGGTTCCCAGCCACCTTGCATGAAGGGGTTTTATTTCATCTGGGGGCAGGCAGAGTACTGCAGGTGGGTTAAAAGACCTCATTCTCCTATTTTTCAGGTCACAATCATTACCTCTGGGGCTGTGGTAGCTGAGGACTCAAGTGTAGCATCCCTTCATCATCAACAGGTGGCGTTGCTGGCCACAGCCAATGGCACGCACATTGCGGTGCAGGTGGGTAGAGATCTGGAGGAAAGGGGACCGCACGGCCAGAGAAGGGACCAAGGAGGAGGGGAATTACATGGGGATCTTGAAGAGAGGGGCATCTGGCTCAGAAAGAGCCCGTTTCAGGGGACAAAGCCCTGCGTGCCTACATCCATGTCAAGGCCCTTTCTTGGCTGAGGCAGAATGATGAAGCCCCTTCCAGCCTTCAGGGTAACGCTGATGGCAGTCCACCTGTGGTCAAGCCCTTCATCTCTTTGTGTCTCTGTTTCTTCATCTGGAAAATACGGAGGCTGAAGTAGGTGATCACTAAGGGCCTCTCCAGCCAGTTATTCTCCTGTGAGCAAGCAGGTCTCTCTGAGCCTGGCCCATTCCATGGCTCCCTGGCCGTGCCTAGCCTACTAAATACTCCGTCAGTAAATGTCCTGTTTATTGGAGCCCTACTGAGTGCTCAGCATGTGGCACTGGAAAGACGGAGGAGGTTCAAAAAAGTAGGCCACATCCTACCAACACGAGACTCTATGAGGAAGGGTCTCACTCTCTCCTTCCTTCTACGTCCTCTCCCCCACAGCTGGAGGAGCAGCAGACTTTGGAGGAAGCCATCAGCGTGGCCACCGCTGCCATGCAGCAAGGGGCCGTGGCCCTGAAGACCACAGTGTCGGAGAGCGGCTGCTGAGCGCAAGAGGGCTGGGTCCTGCGCCATGATAGAGGAGGTGTCATGCTACACAGGCATTCTTGCTTCCAGGGGCCCAGGCTGTGGCTGCCACACGTGGAAGGTGGCCACATAGGTCTCCAGGGCAAGAAGGCGGCAGGCAAACAGCCTAACTGGCGGGCGCCCCACCCAAGAGGAGGGCCAGGCGGCCAGAACTGGGGAGCATGTCATCCTTGGGAGCTGAGAACGAGCCTGATCACCAGGCTGCACTGGGGTACCCTCCCCTCAAAATCAGTGGGGTGTCCTTCTAGAGAACACCCTTCCTGCCCTCAGTCCACTCCCCTTCTCAGGTGGAAATCGGGGCTGCCGCGGGGACTGGCCCTGCGCCCTGACGGTCATTGCCTGCCGGGGGAGGGGCAGGCAGCTCTTCCGCCCCGTGGGAGCAGAGCAGGCCCAGCCCTGCCCTCCCAGCAATAACCACCTCCCTTGAGGCCAGCCAGGATGCCGGGCTACTTGGCACAGGGGCTTCCTGCCACCGCAGTCAGAATTAATTCCTCAGGGGCCTGTGGCTGGAGAAAAGGTGCCCGGCCCCCACCACCCCCAGCTGCCCCCCAGCCTCTCTGTGGCAGAGAGGCAGGGAGCAGCCCTGTAAATAGACTGCAGCGGATTGGGTTTAATTTGTTTAGTTTTTTTAATTCCATTTTGATAATTTTTTTTTTCCTGCTCTGGGTGATGGTGGCAGATGGGTGAATGAGTATTTAATAAAAGTTCCGAGTTTCTACCTGGGTCCCTCCATTCTTTCAGCTCTGGGCGCTGGTGGCAGGGCTGGCCAAGTCAGGCTCTCAGCCCTGGCTCCCCGGCACAAACCCCGCCCGGCCTCAGTGCCCGAGCGGGGCTGGCTGCCTGCGGCACAGGTAGGAGGAGTGCCCCATGTAAGATAAGCCCTGAGTGGCTGCTAGTGGCTTCCTGCCCACAGCTGAGCAGGTGGGCTCCAGGGTGGCCACTGCTTCCAGGCTCTGGCTTAATCGCAGGCCTCAGGATGATTGGGTTGGAGCCACTCTTTTTCTCTGTCTTATCTTGTGAAGTGTAGTCAGAGCCCCTCCAGACCCAGCCACCCCCCAACCACACACAGTCAACTGCTTCAAGAGGACAGAGCCCCAGGTTAGAGTGAAGCCAAGGTTACCCAGGTTCGAGGAACAGAGTCTGATACCTCTGTGCTGACGTCCTGGCTGTGTGACCCAGCTCTGAGGGTGCCCAGCCAGGACCGTGCTGTGGAATTCCCAAGCCATAGTCAGACCCCACTGACAAATGAGTTGGTGAGACCAGATCGGCCCTGGAGGGAGGAAGGGGTGCAGGGGAATGCCCTCGATGGAAAGGAGCTCTGTGTGTGACCCTGCCTGGGTAGGGGCGTTACAGGGATTGGAGGTGCCTCTTTTCCTCTCCACTGGGATGGACGCAGCCCAAGCCCCTTCCTGCCACCCAAGATTGGAACCCCCTCTTCCAACCCAGGCATCTTCTCCCAGGATGCCTAGAAAGCTCCCATTTACTCTGGCCACCAGGTCCTCGGGAACAGAGAGGCTGGGCATGCTTCCAGGGAGGGGGGCATCTCAGAATTGACCTGAGCAAACGTCTTCAGCATCCATGGCACTCTTCCTGGTGTGGGTGCATCCCAGTCCTCGTGGGCACTGGATCTAAGAAGTGGAAGCACTGATGTGGAAGGGCCCCGAATCCCAAGCCTGTCTCCACCAAGACCCTCGAGGCTGGACCCTACCACAGGGCTCACCCCCATGTGCTTCAGAAAGTCTCCAGTGTCTTCGGGGCAACTGAGCCCAGACTGGGCCGTGCTCTGAGTAGCTTTTGGAGCCAACGCTGAGGGCATGGGGAGCCAGCAAATCAAGTGCCAAGTCCGCCTGACCTGGAGGAGTGGCCTGGCCCAGCTCCTCCTCCAACTTCGTGATGTTGCCTTTGTGTTCCACTTGGGTGGAGTCCCGCCAAGGGACTGTTAGGTGGGACTAGCTAAAAGAAATGCTTTATCCAGAGCCTGTGATGTGCTTCGCATCTGTTCTCAGACATTCCCACAACTCAGAGGTTGGTATTCTCCCTGCTTTACCAATGAGGACACTGCTCAAAGAGGTCAGGTACTTGATCCAAGGCCTCCCACCTGCTAAGTGTGGAGTTGGGGCTAGACCCCCAGTCCGTCTGACTCCAAAGTTTGTTTTTTTTTTTTTTTGAGACAAAGTCTAACTGTGTTGCCTGGGATAGAGTGCCGTGGCGTCAGCCTAGCTCACAGCAACCTCAAACTCCTAGGCTCAAGCGATCCTACTGCCTCAGCCTCCCAAATAGCTGGGACTACAGGCATGCGCCACCATGCCCGGCTAATTTTTTCTATATATTTTTAGTTGTCCGATTAATTTCTTTCTATTTTTAGTAGAGACGAGGTCTCGCTCTTGCTCAGGCTGGTTTCGAACTCCTGAACTCAAACAATCCGCCCGCCTCGGCCTCCCAGAGAGCTAGGATTACAGGCGTGAGCCACCGCGCCCGGCCAAACAAGCCAAGAACTGACTCCAAAGTTTGGATGGACTTTCTTTTTCCCTCCGCAAGCTGCCTCTGGGAGCCCCAGAAGGCCCTGAGGCTAAGGAGGCTTCGGAAAGGACCTCACACGCCCAGGGAGCCAGGCAAATACAGAACGAGGGCCCCGCTCGCAAAGAGCCGGTCCCCAGTTCCCACGCGGGGAGTGGGCCGCCGAGCACTGCAAGAGCAGCAGGCCAGGTTCCTGCGAGCACAGGGCGCCAGAGCGAGCAGGCAGGTGGAGCTCTCGCTCCGCCACGGCTCCTCTGCGGTCTCTGCAGCCGTTTGCATTTCCTGAAACCGGATCTTAGTGTCAGAGCCGCCCCCGCCGGGCCGGCGCCTCAGCCATGGCCCTGCGCAAGGAGCTGCTCAAGTCTATCTGGTACGCCTTTACCGCGCTGGACGTGGAGAAGAGTGGCAAGGTCTCCAAGTCCCAGCTCAAGGTGAGGGGCACCCGGGGCCCAGGGGAGGCTGGCAGACGTGCACACCAGCCCCTGCCGCCTGGGAGCCAGCCGTGAACACCGTGCCACTCCAGGGGCACCCCGGCGCCCAGCGGCCCAGCCTGGGGTGAGGGCCCAGTACTGGTAACTGGGCCAACAGCCTGGTGGAGGCTGCTGCCCACCGTGCAGAGGCCCTACGGAGTGCATGCCGCTCCCTTGCCCAGAACCGGGCTCCCCAGCTGTCTGGAGGGTGGGGGGGCATCATGGGGTTCTGAGGGCCACGAGCCAGGCCACATCCCAGACTCCATGTGATGAGCACACACATCTCCCCGGAGTCAGGCTTGGGCATGCAGCCTGCTCCTTGCCTCTTCCTCCCGACTTTGAAGAGAGACAGTTAGCCACTACTTGTCAGTCACTTCCTCTGGAGCTGCGAGAGAGGCACGCAGGGCCTCCCCGACTCCTGAGCCAGTCCGGCCCGCTGAACTGTGCCCCCCAGATGGTGCAGAGCTGGGGAGGGGGCAGGGACTAAGGACCGAATTATACTGCTATGCAGCTCACCACCCTCTCGACCCACAAACACCAGGTTGGGAAACTGTTAGCTCAGTCCTGGAGACCTCGGGTGAGGGGGGCCTGGAATCTGAGCCACGTAAAAGCCCCATCAGTGACAGTCTTCTATCCTCTGGTCTAAACAACTCCTGGGAAGCCAAGTCTTTCTCCCTCTTCCTCCAGTCCTCAGTTAGTGCTGCCTTCCCTGTCCTGGCCGGGAAAGAAACAAGGCCCTAGGTTGCTAGAACCAGGGAGCACTGGGAGAAAGGAGCAAGCTAGGCCTGAGCTCTCCGGGACCTGGGGGGTTCATCCGTTCACTCTGCGAATACCTGATTGAGTGCCCACAGGAGGCTCTGTGCCCGGGACGAGACTAGGCCCTAGATTCCCGGTGTCACCTCTGCCCCACCCCGCCAAAGGAGGCCTACAGTCTCAAGGAAACCTCCAATCTTAAACCTTCATCTCTCTCTGGAAACCTGAGAGAGATGAATGCCTATTCCGTCCCACCCCATCCCAAACCCCCACTTTGCTGAACTTGGACCTGATGAACTTGAATATCCCAAACTGGTCCTGTGTTATAATCTGTCCCTTAGCTGGATTTATGAGTGACTAATAAATGATGTTTTACTCTCCCATGGAGTATCACCTGTTGTCACCTGGAGAGTACCTCCCAGCAGTCAGGTTCTTTCTTACGTCCTACTTAAATGCCTTACATTGCAGCTCATGTCATCTAGTTGGGTTCTCAGTATAGGTGGGAGAAAAGCTGATCACCCGGAGTCCATCCCTGCAAACTCTGTGCCCCACACCCCCCTCCCACCCTGCCCCTTCAATATTTTGCCAGGACAATACCAGCCGCCATGGCTTGTTGCTTCCAAGGTACCATTTTCCACCTCTCCATTACCTGTGGCTCCTGAGGTGTCTCCGGGCTCTCTGTGCTCCTCACGTGGCAGTGGGGAGGCTACAGACTTCAAGTGGTTCCCCTTTTCCTGGCGCCATCAACCGATAAGGCCTCCCAACTTGAGCCTCTGTCTAGGCCTCTAACCGGGCCGATACTCCCCCACCTCTACAGGTTGAGTATTTCTGGGGAAGATTCCATGGAGAGCTTGCATACTTGAACTGTCTTGTACCACATCACAGTTCAAATTGAGCCCAGCAATGTCTCTGGTCACACAGGATCAGTGGTAGATTTCACCCCTGCTTGACATAAAACTTGTCCACTCTGGAAACCTGAGCTAACAGTGGGAGTCTCAGGGGCCAAGTGGAGGTAGGGCAGACAAGGCAGAGCCCTGTCACAGGAGAGAAGGATGGAGCAAGCAGGTTTCCCCCAGGCCCATAGTGTGGATGCTGGAATGGGAGGAAATAGTGATAGTGTTGTGGGTGGGGATTCCAGAAAGTCAAAGGAGTAGTAGGGAAGTGGCCAGAGGCAGCAGATAAGAGAGATATACAAGCAAGGCCCACTCCCTCCCTTGAAAAGACTTAGGGACAAGGGAAAAGCTCTTGGGGTTAGCCTGTTCTTACTGAAACCGTCCTTGGCTGGAACCAGGCGGGAGACCTGCACCAGCGCAGGGCAAGCTATGTCTGTGTGTGACAGTTCCCGCTTCTCCCCTGATGTGTTGGTAGAGGGGCTGCCGCTGGCTGTCCTGGGCAAACCCAGGATGAGGCCACACGGAGGAGGAAGAACAGCAGGTCCTCTGAGAAAAGCCCATGGAGTCAGGATTGTTTTCCCTGGATGACAGAAGGCTTGCGGGGGGAAACCACATGTGTGTGTTCCTCTCTTTGAATTCTTGTAGAAAGTACAGTGGCTTTCATTCAGTTGGGGTGAGAACAGTGAAAATAGACCAATGGGAATGACATTTCCGCCCAGGATGGATTTAGGTTGAACACAAAACTTCCTAGGAGTTGAGGGCTGTGAGTTTTTGCTGGGTCCTCAGAACCTCCTCTAAAAAACTATAGGAGTGGCTGGGCACGGTGGCTCACGCCTGTAACCCTAGCACTCTGGGAGGTCGAGGCAGGAGGATCGCTTGAGCTCAGGAGTTCAAGACCAGCCTGAGTAAGAGTGAGACCCTGTCTCTTCTAAAAATAGAAAAATTAGCTGGGCATGGTGGTGCATGCCTGTAGTCCCAGCTGCTAAGGAGGCTGAGGCAGAAGGATTTCTTGAGCCCAGGAGTCTGAGGTTGCAGTGAGCTAGGCTGACGACACTGCACTCTACCCAAGGGCAACGAGTGAGACAGTATCTTAAAAAAAAAAAAAAAAGAAACCTGTAGGAATGAGTCGCCATCCTGACAGAGGGCTGCAGAGAGGGGAGCCCTTGGGAATGATGGGTATCCTAATGGCCACACCCTCTTCCCCAGGGGAGCAGCTTTGATTTTAGGCCTAGTAGAGAATCAGCTGAGAATTTGGCCTCCTTCCTCCCTGACTACCGGGCAGCGGGGTAGAGGGATATAGATGCAGTAGCACGTCTCTGGCTTGGTGAGGATGTTAGGGGGCAGCAGGCCTAGTACTTCCCCTTGACTGGCAGGAGCTGGGGGAAGGGAGGCGGGATGCACAGGGGCCTTTCCGGCTTCTGAGCCTCCAGCTGACACTCAAGGCAGTTCTGGAGCCCAGGGAGAGTCTCTCTGCCGCTGAGAGTCTCTGAGCTTCAGGCTCCGCCTCCTCTGGAGAGGGACAACAACCTTCTCCTTAAGGGAGGAAAAGTTAAGAACAGCTCCAGTCCAGCCTTGCCCTGACCCCTGTGTGCTGCTGCTGTCCTAGGGCTAGGATGTGGGGGTGTGGGGGGGACAGGATGATTTAATGATGTGCAGAGCACCTGACTCAGAAACACATAGGCTTGGATCTATACTGCTCTCCGGCTGGCTGACCTCGAGCAAGTCACTGCCCATCTCTGAGCCTCCATTTCTCATCTACAAACCAGGAGTGTTGAACTGGGGATCACCAAGCCACCCAGCCAGCCTACGAAAATACTTAAATACTGTACGTCAACTAGGTGAAACTGGTCCTCGATGCGGCCTCTCCTTTCCCTTTTCTGGGCCTCTGTCTTTTCTTCGATGCCCACACACAAGCCCTCCAGCCCCTTCTTGTTTTCAGCAGGTGACACAGCTAATCCAGAGATTCCCACCTTTTAAAATTCCCCGTGCTGCTCCCTGGTTGTAGTTACGCTTTAGTACCCACTGGAATATACTCAGTAACTCTTCAAAGGATCTGTGTCTTTGAAAAGGATCATTGGGTACCTAGATTCATTTAAAGACCATAGTCCATTCAGGGGGAGGGAGTAGTCATTCTTTGTGAAATCATTGCTGGTGCCTTTATGGATGTCCAAACCCCCATATCTGCAGCTACTCCCTGCTCAGCCAAGGGTTCAGGATCCTGAGGGCTGGAAATTACGGAACCAGTCCCTACTGACTTAATCATTTTTTTTTTTTTTGAGATAGGGTCTCACCTTGTTGCCCAGGTATGAGGACAGTGGCATGATCATAGCTCACTGCAAGCTCAAACTCCTGCCTCAGCCTCCCTAGTAGCTGGGACTGCAGGTGCGCTCCACTGTGCCAGCTAATTTTTGTATTTTTTATAGAGACAGGGGTCTCACTATGTTGCCCAGGCTGGTCTCGAACTCCTGGCCTCAAGTGATCCTTCCACCTGAGCCTCCTAAACTGCTGGGATTACAAATATGAGCCACTGTGCCCAGCCCCTACTGACTTACTCTTGTGAACAAGAACATGACACCTGCCCTGATCCCCACACTTGAGACTTTAGAGGACTCGAGTCCCCAGAGGAGAGCTACTCCCCCACATGCCTCCAGAAGTAAGAGCCTTTCAAAGGCCAGGGGCTGCCTGGGTGGGCGTGGGAGACTGTGGGAACCTCTGCGCGGGAGCCCTAATGGCAGCTTACGAAAAATACGGACACCTGGACCCCACCCCGGAAACTCTGAGTCAGGAGGTCGGGGTGGGGCGGGCGTATTTCAGTTTCATCAGCTCCTCGGTGCTTCTGCTGCTCAGCCAGGGCCAGCGCAGTGAGGAGATCAGGAGCGGGACTTTGGAACCAGACCTTGGGGAAGACTTCGCCTCTCTGAGCCCCATTTCCTCCTCTGTAAAATGAGGATAATGAGAGTCCCAGCCTCCAGGGCTGAGGACTGATTGAGATCTGCAGGTGAGCTCCTGCTCAGCTCCTCCACCCCTGCCACTTCCTTTCCAGCCTGAGTCCTCCCCTAGTCACACCCTCTCCCCACCCACAGCCCCACCCGCACCCAGGCGCAGGAAGCCCGGCAGTCGGAGGTCTGCCTCTCCTCTCTGGGGAGAAGCCCTGAGTGCCGGGAGCCCCCGTGTCCTCCTTGTCCCCGTATCTGACAGCCCGCAGGGGTCAGGCTCTGTCCCGGGCTCTTCAGAGTCCAGTGGCAAAAGGTGCAGGTGAGGAAAATGGGCTAAGTAGGTCTTAGGGCGAGTGAGCCAAGGAGGGGAGCGGCTCAAGGAAGTGTGGGCTGCTGTGTGGCAGGTTCCAACCTGGGTGGGAGTGGGGTTCCTACGGTATCTCTGCCAATTCCCTTTTTAGAGATGTGAAAACTGAAGCCTCGTGAGGCTAATATGCTCAGAGGTATCAGCCATGTCTGCCTGGCTTCTGTATTTCGTCTGCTTCTTCCCACGAAGTATTTAAGTTCATGCAACAGATATTTACTGAGCATCTGTTATGTGCCAGGCCCAGCCATACAGCAGGGAGCAAAACACAAACGTCTCCACCCTTGTGCTGACGTTCTGGTCCCAGGAGACAGATGATGAACTAAATAAAACGTATGGTGCGATGGAAGATGATACAGGACGTGAAGGAAAATAAGCAGAAGTGGGTATGGGGAGTGTGGAGGTCAGAGGGGATTGGGTTACAGAGTTCAATAAAGTCAGCCCGGCGTGGTGGCGAGCGCATGTAGCCCCAGCTGCTCGGAAAGCTGAGGTGGGAGTTGAGCCCAGGAGTTTGTGACTGGCCTGCGCGATATAGCAAGACCCCCTCTCTAAATAAAAAATGAAGTGATCAGGGAGCCCTCCCTGAGATGACATCTAAATAAAAATGGAAGGGAGGAGAAGGTGGGAGGTGACCTGGGAGAGGAATGTTCCAGGCTGCAGGAACAACAAGTGCAAAGGCCCTGAGGCAAAAGTATGCCTGGCCTGTTGTAGGAATACCAGGGAGGCCAGAGTGCCTGGACAGACGTGAACAAGAGGCACGAGGTCAGAGAAGGCACAGCAGGCAAGGTCACATGGGGACTGGAGGCCTCTGGAAGGATCGAGCTTCTACTTTGAACATGATGGGAAACCATTGGATCATTTAAGTTAGACTTGAGGACTCAGTTGGAAACAGTCAGCTTCGGGGGACATTGTACTGATCCCTGGAGTCAAGGTTGGGATTAGGGACCTTACTGCCCTCAAGGAATGCAGAACACCCAGAAATGCTCACACGAACAGTATACAGCAAAAGAGTATTATTACAGAGAAATTTAATAACAGGGCAAATTAATACCAGTAGTTAATGGCACTCTGTTTTTTATCTCTATTGTTTTAAAATTTTGTCATAAAGACAACATATGCTCCTGGTTAAAAAAAATCAGGATGCAGAAGAATATTATGTTAAAGAAGAAATTTATTATGAAAGTAAGACATGTTACTGGTTAAAAAATTTCAAAGAGTAGGCTGGGCGGTGGCTCACGCCTGTAATCCTAGCTCTCTGGGAGGCCGAGGCGGGCGGATTGTTTGAGCTCAGGAATTCGAGACCAGCCTGAGCAAG